TTTCCTTTCATCTAGTTGTACAACACAGTTTTTTTTTCTTTTAAAACTTCAAGTTGTATTTTCTCATGGCATTCTAAAAGTATTAGCATCATGTATCAAAGAATGACTAAGTTTTAGAAGTTTACCTTGGATCTGAGGGCTATGGGGTCAGGACATTTATCGTGATTGCTTGAATGTCCCTGCGAGAAGCAAAGGTTGCCTTGTTTGGGTTCTTACGGAGATTAAGTCTGCCTTGTTCTACAGTATCTAAAAGTTATCATTTGAAGCCAGTATTTATTTTATTAGTCATAGTTCCTTTTTTTTCTTCCTCCCAAATTGAAATTTGGTAAATGGGTGGGGTAATCTCCAGTAGGTCGTCAAAGAAGATTGTTTATCATGAGGCCAGAGAACACAAAAAACAAAAAATAAACACAATAGAAAAATAATCCCCTTAGGAGTCCTTTAGAATGAATTAAGTGTGCCTTGCACTTCAGGAGCTTTTATTTAGCTCAAACATGGCAGCAATTGTGAGGATGGTGCAGGACTGGGCAGTGTGTTGTTGTGTTATATATGGGGTCGCTCTGAGCTGAAATTGACTTGTCTGCACCTAACAAGAAAAGATGGAAACCATCGGTTCTTGGTGAGGCAGTGGAATATCAAGCTGGAGTCTTTGGCTTCTCCTGCCCCCAGCTCAAATTTAACTTACCTTTGCCCAGTGGAAGTAAGTACCAGGGGGTGGCACTTCAGAAACAACTGGGCACTTTGACCAGTGATAATCCAATTCAGACCAGACTTGTATCCATTTACCCAGTCAATCATCCACTCGACTCACAATTTTCAATCATCTATTAGTCACAGGCACTGTCCCTGCCATCAAGGAGCCATCAGCCCTTTTGGGGGAGGTGTGGGCATCAAGGAACATTGTAGAAAGTGCCTGACAGAGGGAAGCACTAAAGAGGTGAGGGGGCACACAGCGCAGGCTGCCCAGTCTGGGGAGGAGAGGGGAGGTTTCTGGAATTGTTGTTTGAAATGAGTTTTGAAAGATAAGTGGGAATGGGAAGGAAACACTGCAAAAATGAATAATTAGAAAGAAAGAAAGAAAAGTAGAAAATAGCCAGTAATGAAGAGAATGGGAACAACATTGCCAAAGGCATGGGCACAGGAGTTGTCTGGGTGCTGGAAATTGTAGCAACCAGAATGAAGGTGCAAGGAAATGGGTAATGAGAAACCAAGCGGAAGAGGTAAACAAGAGCTGAATTGTGAAGGGTCGTAAACCATTATAAAGGGTTTTAGGGAGCCATTACAATCTTTCAAACAGGGAGTGAAAGGAACTGATTTAAAGCCTTGTGGAAGACTGGGCAATCTACTTCCGTAGAGATACCGCCTTGCAAACCAAGGAGGGGTCACTATGAGTCGGAACTGGCTTGAAGGCAGTGAGTTTGGTTTTGGAGTTTTGGGCCCAGTGTTAGGGGTGCAGACTGAGGGGGTGGGCTTCAGGAGGTGTGGGTGCCTCACAGGGCTGCTCGAAGGCATCTACACTGAACCCACTGCAGAGGCTGAGGAGAGCTCTTAGCTCCACCAAGTTCCAAGCTCAGCTTATGTCTGGTGGCAGGTCTCCCTGGCAAACCTTACGTTTTCTGGAAAAGTCAGCCCTGCTCAAGCCCTTGCCAGAAAAAGCAGGAGACCCTGATTCATGCTCTGTGAAAAATTTCCCCTTAGGGACTACAGGAAAGACAGAAAAGACATCTTTCTGTTGGCCAAGGAGAGAAGTCCTTTGGGTAGAGATTGGCTGGAGGAAGAATCCTCTCACCCTGCCATGAGAACCCCCCAAACCCAGGCGAGGCAGAAGGAGGGTTAGGAGCTCCAGGACAAATGTCACTACGTGTCCCATTTTTTTCTCTAACAAACTAAACAAAGCAACTGTGTTCAGTGGCCCCACAGGAAGGCCAGTCATTTCCTGAAAAGCTATCAGGCCAGCCCAGACCCTATTGTTCCCGGTTTCCAGCAATGGCCACCATTACATGACCAGCACCCCAGCTAGTCGCTCTGCCAGCACGAGGCAAAGTTACCAGATTGGTTCCTGCTTCACACGGGGCAGGTTTCTCTTCTGTAGGAAGTGTCTTCTACCCAGAGGTATGGCCCGAAGACAGAACTAACTGTCTTGGAGTCCTGGTGGTTGAAGTTTGCAGAATGCAGCTGAGGTGGCCTGGAGGGGGCAAGATGTGGCTTGGAGTCCTGCTGGCACTTTTGCTCTGTGAGTTTTCATTCTCTTCCCCCATCACTTAAACTTCATGAGGATCAGAGCTTCTGAAATCAAAGTCTTTCTTTTGTCTTTTCCAGGTTCAAGCCTTGAGAGTCAAGAAAACTGTAAGTTGTGACATTTTCTCTTACTTCATCTTCCCTTTTTCTTTCCATGGTTCTGAAGACTCATATCAAACTGCTCAGGGACAAGATTCCAATTGAGGAATAATGTTTATCCCATTTTTAGAAGGTTTTGGAACAAAATTCTTCTGAAGTGTTCCAATCAGCATACACCGTTCCCCTCCCACTTTTAAGATTCTAGAAATTCTGGATTTAAAAAAACCTACACTTTAGGAGCTAATTTCCAATCAGCATGGACTAGAAGTAACATGAGTTTAAATTCTGTTGAATTGCTGTTTGTTAGGACTGAGGAAGTGATAAACGGTGAGCAATTCTGTAACTTGTTCCTTGTTACTCTATTGTAAATTATTTATTTTCATACTCTACTCACTGCCTTTGAGTCGGATTCGACTCATAGAGACCCTTTCTTGGGTTTCCAAGGCAATGCTACCATGGAAGTAGATTGCCCAACCTTCCTTCCAAGCAGTGGCTGGTGGGTTTGAACTGCCACCCTTCTCTGGTTAGCAGTCAAATGCTTTAGGCGCTACTGTCCTAAATTGATTTTATTCACAAATGAGATATGATTGACTTGTTCAAGTTATGAAGACAGAACTTAAATCATTGCTATAGTCTTTTCCCCACTAAGTGATCTAAAATATATATTGATCTTATTTCTCAACTTATCTACAATTATATCTGCAATATTTTATGCAAGTTCTCAGAGAGAGGGTGCTCTGAAGTCTGGTTTATGATCCACTTTAGAGCTGATTTTGAATCTTTATCTTGAAATAAGTGGGTTTTGTTCTGTTTTATCTGGAACCACCACATGAAGGAGGGGTTTGGTTGTGTCTGGGGACTAGATGGAGGGTCCACAGAACAGGATCCCCACTCAGCAAAGAATGGGGCTGATTGGGCTACAGAGATATTGCACAGGTCTTTGGAGATAAAGTGCATGGACAATGCATGTTTCTTGACCCAAGAGGCGCTAACCTGGCAACTAACAAATTGGGTCTGCTGGGTCTCACGTTGAACCTTCCGTGTGCTTCCATGAGCATTCAACCTACGGAGGCAGGATGTCCGTTACCTTCATAACCATCAACCAGCAACAGATGGTGTTGGCGAGGCTCCGAGAAATAACCGATGTATCTATTTGAGTCAGTTTGACATCCACACTAGAACCTCCGCTATCCAAAACCCAATAGTCTTTCTGGAGCCACAGGCGCGACTCAAATCTTTCAAGCCAGTTTTCCTTTACCTCTCTGAGCCTGTTTCTCAATCTATAAAATGGGTATGACAATAAGACCTGTTGAACAGACTCAGTGTGAGGATGGGATTGGATAAGGGCAGTGAGTGACCTGACACAGTGCCTGCCCTGTGGGCTGTTGTGGTTGTTGTGTGCTGTCAAGTCGGCCCCGACTCATAGCGACCCCTCCTTGGGTTTCTGAGGCAGTATCACTACGGAAGTAGATTGCCCCATCTTCCTTCTGAGGAGTGGCTGGTGGGTTTGAACCACCAGCCTTCTGGTTAGCAGTCAAGTGCCTTAGGCACTACGCTACTAGAGCTCCCAGTGATTAATAAATGAGAATGTTGTTAATATCCAGTCCTCTGCCACCTTTCCAACCAGAGCCCCCCACCACCCACCCTCCCTCTTGTCTACTCCAGGCCACGCCCTGAAAACATTCCATGTTTGGAGCTTTTCTTACTCCGTACATCCTATTTCCCAATCTCTCCTGTCCTTCCTCACCTCAAAGTAAATCTCCCTTCCCTGGGTTCCCAGAGGACATCTTTGTACCTTCCGGTAAGCCCTCAGAACTGCACAGTTTACAGTGAGGAGAGACAGGCTGGCCCACTTTTACTGTCCCACTGTTTTTGCAGGCTTCCACCGTGTTGGGGAAGCTGAGACCCGGTGCTCCTAAGGCTAACATACTGGGTGTTAGCAAAGCGGGAACTAGAACCCAGGTCTCCCATCACTTAGAATCCAGAGTCCACACTGACCATGCCTTTGAAATGCATGGGCTGCCTGCCAACTCCATGCTGCCCATTGTCTTGGGTGAGGTGCTTGGCCAGGCTTGACCCTTTCTATCTCAGGTCTTCTCAGCCCCCTCAAATCCCCACTTAACCCCCAAGGAGATGATGACCTCAGCTCCATCTTCATCTGGGAAATAGTGGCCGTCCGGAGGGCACTCCCTCAAAGTCCGCCCTGCCCTGGCCACAAGCTTATCTGCCTCCCCCACCCATCCTCCTGGCTTCCCTTGGGCCTCAGGGCTGTCTGTTCACCTGGGCTCTGAGCCCCACCCCCCCAGGATCTTTGTCTATCATTTGTTCAGCATTGCCCCTCACCATGCTTAATATCTTTATTTTTCCTCAGTTCCTGAACATGATTGAATCACTGTTGTTTTTTTTTGGGGGGAAAGAGAAAAAATCACACACAAAAAACCCCTCCATTTTATCTTAGGTCTTTCTAGCTGGCCATTTCCTTTCTCAGTCAAATTTCTTTGAAGACTGGCTTATAAATGCCACCTCTGCTTCCTCACCTCACAATCACTCACTCCTCATGTCACCACAGCTTGGTCTTAGCCTCCATACCTTACCACCGTGGGAACTTCTCACTGAGGGGTTGCCAAGGACCAGCTAATGTCAAATCCAATGAACAATTCCTGCCCTTAGCTAACTGGGCCCCATGCTGCCTTTAACTTCATTGATCATGCCCCAGCGTCTCTTTCCTTGACCTTTTAGACCATCTCCCTGGATTTTCTCCAACCTCTCCAACAAACCCTCCTTTTCTCCTCCAGGAGAGACTGACTTTTCTGGAGGTCTGAACTCTGCTCCCTGGTCTTGGCAGGCTCCGTATAGTCTCATGCTGTCTGAAGCTTAACTCTGTCCTGACACCTGCTCACACCTCCCTGACCCCCGAGTGTCAAGCTTAACACAGGGCCAGTGGCTGATGTGTCTTCCTAGTTATGGCACAGGCCTCTCAAACACAACTGCTCAGTGACTTTGTCTTCATCCTTTATCTTTTCCTAGCATTCTCTACTTCATTTGGTGGGACCCTCATCCTCCTTGGTACTGAAACCAGAAACCTGCTATTTGTCTTCTAGTCTTTGCCTCAACTCCCATATTCAATCAAGCAAGTCCTTTGGCGTCTACTAAATGTTTTTAAATCTACCCTTCCCCTTGCTCCTACTGCCCCTGCCCTGGCTCAGAACTCACCAGCTTTCACCAGAGCCATCCACACAGAATAGGTCTTGTGTTTTGCCTGCAATTATCTTTCTAGAATGCAATCTTATCTTGTTACTCCCCTCCTGAAGACCCTCAGTACAGAAACCAATTGTCAGCACAGAAGGCAAAGCCATCCCTTCTGATACCATGTGCCAGGCACCTCTGACCATCCCCCTCCCCCACACTCAGGTTCCTGTAACCGGCTGTATCCAGATTGTGCTGGGATTTCTCATGCCCCTGTGCCCTGGTACATGTTGTTCTCCTGCACGGAGCACCCCACCTCCCCTTCTTGGCCTTGTTCAAGGCTCAGTTCAGGGGTCACTTCCTTCAGACTTTCCTTGCCCTCCCCTGGGCAGCCCTTCCTCATGGAGCTGTATCATTGTGCTCAAATCTGTGTCTTGAACAGCAAGAGTGATTTCTTAATCACCCCTGTAATCCCAACACCCAGCACACATGCTCAATAAATATCCTCTTGAAGGGATTTGAACTGAACTTGAAGATGCTTGAGGTTAAGATAAGACCTTGAGGTCAGCACTCTCTGTGCTGAGCCCAGAGGTCCGTCTGAGACTCCATGCTTTGTGGCTCCCTGGAATTTTCCTGACAGTGGTGGGCGGCCCCCCTTCCCCACCTCCTCTCTTCCTGAGCAATTTCCAGGTTGAGGGCCAGGTGACTGGTTGAGTCACAATGCCTTATCTTCCCAGGGAGCATCAGCATCTGCTGCTTGGTGGCCTTGAGGTCAAGACACCTTCATTTTTGTGTTCTGGAATTTGGCACTGTGGGCTGTGAATGCCTCATCCATGCTGTGGGTGACTGTAACTTTGGATCTTCCTCCATCAGCCTGTATCTCTCCAAGTTGAAAAGACCCGACCTCTTTAGGCTGTTCCCAAATCCCAACCTTCCACCACAACAGCTCTGAACCTCTTGGGTTCAGTAGGAAAAGCTGTGGACTCTCTCTTCAGACAAATGCACATTTGCATATAATTGGAGGTGATCATGGGTCCCCAAAGCCCATCATGTACCTTCTAGGAACTCAGGCACCTCATGTTGCAAATAACTATTCTGCAGTAAGTCCCTCGGTCACGAACATCCAATTTATGGACAACTTGTACTTGCCTTTTAAGGTTAAGTTGCCTTCATACTGAAACAACAGAACCAACTCCTGCCAACAAATTCTCCATCACAATCATCTTTACTTGCTGCACATGCAACTTTTAAATCATTGAAAAGGATTTGAGCTTTTTCTTACACTAATGTAAGTCTAGAGCTGTGGTAGTGTAGTGCCTAAGGCACTTGACTGTTAACCAGAAGGCTGGGGTTCAAACCCACCAGCCACTCCTTGGAAGGAAGGTTGGGCAATCTACTTCTGTAGAGATACTGCCTCAGAAACCCAAAGAGGGGTCGCTATGAGTCAGGTGTGACTCAATGGCACATAACAACAACAACAACAATGTAAGTCTAAGTAACAACTGGATTCACCTGTTCCAACTCACCTATAAATTTGACTTAAAGACACAGTTTGGAACTACTCTTGTTCATAACCTGGGAACTGCCTGTACTGTATAAATACTAAGGCTTGCACACAGTAATCCAGGTTTGGCTGGGTCTGAACAGTTTATTTAAAAAGAGGATAATGTTTTCTGTATTATCTTAATAAGAACCAGATAGAGGTTTTTGAGGACTGGTTGGAGACTTTTATTTTTAAATTTATTAATTTTTTAAAATTTTTTTGCAGTGTTCCCTTTCCTCCCCTCCCACCCCTGGTAACCAAGAAAGAAAGTTTCCTTCCATATATAAACCTTTGCTTGACTTTTTACCGTAATGAACTAATACAGTATTTGTCCTTCTGTGATTGACTTATTTCACTCAGCATAATGTCTTCCAAGTTTGGGGATGTATTTATTTAATGCTGTGTAACAATTACCCCAAAACTTAGAGGCTTACAACAGTTTCTGAGGCTTAGGAATCCAGGAATGGCTTAGTTGGGTGGCTCTGGCTTGGGTCTCTCACGGGGTTACAGACAAGCTGTTGGCTGGGGTTGCAGTCCTCTGAAGGCTTAACTGTACCTGGAGGATCTGTTTCCAAGTCCATTGGGATGCTGTTTCTGAGATAACAGGTGTGTCTGTCTGTCCTCCTTCCCTTTGCACTTAGCTTTCACCATCAACAGCATCCGCATGGAGAGCCAACCAATGTGGACAGTGCAAAACGGGTGGAACCTGACCCTCCAGTGCATTGTGGACATCAGCACCACCTCACAAGTCAAGCCACAGCACCTGGTGCTGTTCTACAAAGATGATGTGATGTTCTACAATGTCTCCTCCACGGAGAACATGGAGAGTTTCTTCATTCCCCAAGCCAGGGCTTCTGACTCGGGGAAATACAAGTGCACTGTGCTCCTGAACAACAAGGAGAAAACCACTCCGGAGCACGAACTGCTGGTGAAAGGTAAGTCCTAGCCTTGACCCAGCTCAAGCAGATGAAGTGGAACTCGTTCAGTGGCATGGACAGGAATTGTGAATGAATAGAACCATAGACTTCCCTACCCATTTTCCTAACCTGAAAATGTAGGCTCTAACACACTCCCAGTATGCCAGGCTATTTCTAATCTCCTTCTCCTTGCACAAGGAACTCTGGTGGTGCTGTGGTTAAAATATTGGGCTGCTAACCAAAAGGTCAGCAGTTCAAACCCACCAACCACTTGTCAGGAGAAAAATGAGGCAGCCTGCTACTATGAAGATTTACAGCCTTGGAAACCCTCTGTAGTTCTACTCTGTCCTATAGGGTTGTTCTGAGTCAGAACCAGCTCAGTGTTGGTGGGTTTTTGGTTTGCCTTTGCACATGCTGTTCCCTCTCCTACAAATACCTTCTTCACCTCACTCCTTGTGAACTACTCTTTCTCCGTCAACACTCAAATCAAAGGTCTCTTCCCTGACACTTTCGCAAACAAAATAGATCTCTTCCCAGGTATGGTCCTTAAGCACTCTCTATGTTCAGTGGCATTTGTTGTGTGTATAAAGGCCATCTGGGATAAGTGTTAAGGAACTGGATTCTATGGTCAGTCTGGAATGTGGACAAAACCTTAACCCCTCTACACTTCGAAATCCTCATTAGTAAAATGAGGATGATTATACTCAGCTCAGGGAGTTGTTGAGAGGGTTTTTAAAAATAGTGCAGGTAAAGGGCTTAGCATAATTCCTAGGACAGAGTAAGTTTCCAATAAGCAGCAGTTGCTATTTTATTCCATATTGTAACTGTTTTTTCACACAACTGTCTGCTCTTCTGGACTGAGGTCTTGAGGAGAGAAATGATATCTGGCCCATTTTTGAAGCCTAAACAAAGAACATGACCCCTAGTAGACACTCACTAAGTGTGGAATGAATTAAACAGATGAAAAGATGGGGTAGGGATGTAGGGACAGGAATTTGGATTCACTCAAGAGGCATTTCCTGAAGCCATGCGTCAGGGAAGTGCCAGATACTAGAGATACAAGACCATCAAAGCAGTTGTAGTCTGTTTGGGGAGAAGATATTTAAATAATTACAGTCCAATAGAATGAATAGAATGAGTAGAAGCATAGACTTCCCTACCCATTTTCCTAATCTGAAAATGTAGGCTCTAGACACACTCCCAGTATGCCAGGCTATTTCTAATCTCCTTCCCCTTGCACAAGGAACTCTGGTGGTGCTGTGGTTAAAATATTGGGCTGTTAACCAAAAGATCAGCAGTTCGAATGGATGGAGGGTGCCCATCCAAGCCCAAGTAGCTTAGGAGCACAAAGAAGAAGAAAATAATTCTGCGTGGAGCAGTTAGGGAAGGCTTCCTGGAGGAAGCAGCATTAAGTTCAGATATGGAAGGTTTCATAGGAGTTTGCTTGATGGTGAAGTGGGCAAAGAAGTGGGAAAAAGCGTTAAGTATGAAAGAGCTGAAGCTACAAAAGAGCTTAGTATCCCAGCTCTGCTGAGTATCAACTGGGTGCCTCTCAGGCATTTCCGCCAGCCTCTGGGAATGTTTCCTTTCTGTAGAAGAGGGATACTTAGGTAATCACACGCACTCTTAAAGGTTGTTTTATTTTGAGGATGCAATGAGATAACAAATGAAGCATGTTCAGCAACCAAGTGTTGCATGAATGCCCATCTTGAGCGCATTGCCCCACCTTCATAGAAACAATCACAATTGTAGGGAACTGATTGCTTGAGGCTTTGGCTCCTTAATTCACTTTAATGCTTGGCTTGGGGTCTGGTGACTTTTCAATAAGGAGTTGTTGAATAAACTAGCCGTGGGATTTGTTAAATAAATTAGCCGTGGAGCGACTGAAAGAATGCATGAGGTGGGTCTGGGTGATGGCAGGAGCCCCTCCCTTGCTGGGCCTCCCCTGGTCTCCCTGTCCCACCCAGGCCTCACCCGACAGTCCACTTCACACTCCTACGGCTTATTGCTTCTCACTCTGCTTGATAACCCACCAGTTATTAATATCCTCTGAGTTTAAGTGCTTCCTCATTTCCAGGCCTTTTCTCAGCTTGCTCGTAGAGCCCCTCCTTCCGCCCTCACAGAAGTCCTAGGAGGTGAGATGAGGAAAGTGAGGCCTAGTGAGAGGAGGTGGCTGGAGGAAGGCGCCCGTCCAGGAAGTGGGGAGTTCCTGATTCAAGCACAGCCTGTCTGCCTCCAAGATGGAGCTCCTGACCAGAAGCCCATGGGGCCTGTGCTGGCTCCCCTAGCTTCCCCAGGGCTGACCTCAGCTCACCACCCTATGTACCTTCCGCCCTACCCCTCTTTTCTGCTCTAGACAAAAACCAAATCCAAACCCATTGCTGCCAAGTCATTTCCGACTCATGGCAACCCCATGTGTTAGAGTAAAACTGAGCTCCACAGGGTTTCCTTAGCTGTAATCTTCACATGAACAGATTGCCAGGTTTTCCTTTCTTGGCGTTGGCCTTTTGATAAGTAGAGGAGTGCCAATTGTTTGCACCGTTCAGGGACACCTTTTCTAGATAGCTCTCCTAAAAGCCACGAGTGTGCTTCCTGCAATGTCTGCCTTTGGCCTCATCTCACCTCGTCTGTCCAAGCCCTTCAAGGCACCGCTCAGGCCTTACTCCTTTCAGAATCTTCTCTGATCTTCCAGGCAACAAGGGCTCCTCCCTTCCTGATTGCTCCATCACTCACTGTCTTTGCAACACATTCTGATGCTTGGTTAGCTGTAGTGCTGTTCTGTGAACTAGGACGCAAGCTGTGCAGTGTAGGCATGTGCACGCATGCACACCCCCTCTGCACTCCAGCTTTGGAGACCTGAAATCCAGTCTCAGCTCTGGGGCTCGCAGGCTGTGTGGTTTTGAGTGGGTTTATACTTCTCTGAGCTTCAGCTTCTTAATCTATAAAGTGGACATAATTTTATCTTTTGTTCCTACCAGTAGGCTTATTATGGGATCATAGATATAAAGTAAAATGTAGCTTTGTGGCTTGCTGCATAGTTGGCATTCAAGTAATTACTACCATTATGATAATAATAACAAATGCTGTCTGGTGTTTTGTTGTTGTTGTTGTTGTTTGTTTGTTTTTTCAAACTCTATCAGTTGAGAAGACTTCACTTGACTTCCCAGTGGCACTGTAAACTCTGAAAGCACCAATTATATCTTAAAAGTATTTTATATATTTCAGAGTATCTGGTACAGTAATAGGAGCTCTGGTAGCGTAATGCCTCAGGCACTTGACTGCTAACCAGAAGGCTGGTGGTTCAAACCCACCAGCCACTCCTCGGAAGGAAGATGGGGCAATCTACTTCCGTAATGATACTGCCTCGGAAACCCAAGGAAGGGGTCGCTATGAGTCAGGTCCGACTCCACAGCAGTGCGTTCAATTCAGTTTGGTGCAGTGCTGAGCACACACATGCTCAAGAATTTCCAGAGCAGGTGGTGTGAGGAGTGCCTGGGTGGCTCAAATGGTTGAGATGCTTGGCCACTGACTGAAAGGTCTGAGGTTCAAGTCCACCCAGGGGCACTCTACAGGAAAGGCCCAGCAATCTATTTCCAAAAAAGAAATCAGCCATTCAAAACTCAGTGGAGCACAACTCTTCTTTGACACACACTCTTTATTTTATTATTATTGCGATTTGGGTGAAAATTTACAGAGCGAATTCACTTTCCGTACAGCAGTTCACATACACTTTGTCTCATGACATTGACCACAATTTACCACAATGCAACAACTCCCCTCCCACTTCCTCCCGATAGTTACCTCTTCCATGTGTCCATCCCTCCATGTGCTCCTGCCCCCTGAGCTATCTCCCTGTGCATACACAGCCCTTCTTTCTCCCATGATTGTTCTTTCCAAGGGATATATCTTGGGGAGGTCTGGTAGCGTAGTGGCTAAGGCACTTGACTGCTAACCAGAAGGCTGGCGGTTCAAAGCCACCAGCCACTCCTTGGAAGGAAGATGGGGCAATCTACTTCCGTAGTGATACTGCCTCAGAAACCCAAGGAGGGGTCGCTATGAGTCGGGTCTGACTCGACAGCACATAACAACAACAACAACAAGGGATGTATCTACCTCAGGTACATGTTCAACTCTTATGCCTGTCTTTTGTTTGGCTAGAAGCCACAGGTGTGGGTTTAATTCCAGACCTGAAGGGCAGTAGGTGCCATAGTCTCAGTGGTTCCACCAGGCTCTATCAGACCAGCAAACCTGGTCTCCTATTTTTTTTCCCAAATGATTTTGAGTTTTCTTCCACATTGTTCTCCTTCTCTAACTAGGATCTCCTACATAGATCCCCCTCCGAGTGGTTGACAGTGGTAGCCGGGCACCATCTAGTTCTTCTGGTCTCATGGTTGTATAGGCTGAGGGTACCAGTCATGAAGACTAATTGTTTCCATGAATCTTTGGTTTTCTTCATTCTTCTTTGCTCTGGACGAGGAGAGACCCATTGTTGCATCTAGATGGCTGCTTGCAAGCTTTTAAGATCCCAGTGGCTACTCGCCAAAGTAGGAGGTAGAACAATGTTTTGTGTAGTATGTTATGCCAATTGAGCTTGATGTCCCCTGCGACTATGGTCCCGAGCCCACAGGTTCAACTACTCGGTCCCTCTGGGTAACTGGCTGTGACCAAGAAGTGATTACAACCTTGTCCTTTTGACGCACACTCTTGACAGTAACTAATTTGGTTAGGTAGTACTGAATGTTCAAAACAAAAGAATTCTCATATGAGTCAGCGTAGTGACTCAGCTGAAGGAGGCTCTTTCCACTGGGTCAGACTGTGACTGATGGACTTTTTCTTTCCCTCAAGGAGTAGCCAATCCCAGGGTGATGCTGGACAAGAAGGAGGTCATAGAAGGCGGGGTTGTGACGGTCAATTGTTCTGTTGAAGAGGAAAAGGCCCCAATATATTTCAAAATTGAAAAATTTTCACTAGAAACAAAAAGTGTCAAACAAACAAGACAGAAGACTTCTCACAACCAAAATTTTGTGACGATCGACTTTCCAATTGAGGAACAGGACCATATTTTAAAATTCCACTGCCAAGCTATGGTCGTCTCCGGGCTTCAGATGGAGTACTCAGAATTCACCAAGAGTGAATTGGTCACCGTGAGGGGTCAGTCCTGCTCTCCATCGCTCTTGTGGGTTTTTGGTTTGTATGGGGAAACAGAGCCCAGAATGGGGTAGGGGCTGGGGCCTTCTGGGTAGGCCGGTGTTCTTAGGACTTAAGACTTGCTCTTAACCTTAAGTCAGTATTTTTCAAACATTTTTCACTCTGACAAAGTAAAAAAATATTCTATATCTCTGTCTGTATATATACATACATATATAAATGTATATATACATATACATACACATATATATGTGTGTATATATATGTGTATATATATATGTGTGTGTATATATATACACACACACACACACGTACACACATATCCATAGTGATACCGCCTCGGAAACCCAAGGAGGGGTCGCTATGAGTCGGGTCCAACTTGATGGCAAACAACAACAACATACACATATATTATTCAAGACTATTTTCTAAATATATATATATGCATGAAACAAATGTTTCACAAATAATACTTAACATATATAATTGTTGTTGTTATGTGCCATCGAGTCGGCCCCGACTCATAACGACCCCTCCTTGGGTTTCCAAGGCGGTATCACTACAGAAGTAGGATTGCCCAACCTTCCTTCCAAGGAGTGGCTGGTGGGTTTGAACCACCAGCCTTCTGGTTAGCAGTCAAGTGCCTTGGGCACTATGCTACCAGAGCTCCTAATATATATAATGCATTTTTAAATTTTCTATTCATTTCAGTTTTTTTAAAACACTGGCCATGACTCACTAAGTTGATTAACTGTGGGGCCTGCAATTTGGAAAGCACTGCTTTAAGTCGGTGAGACTCAGATACCAGGGAGTGGGCCTGGAGGAGACGGTGAGGCAAGGGAGGCCAGGTCCTCAGCCTTTGCTTCCCTTGTCGGATGAGGGATTGTGCCGTTAACTTCCCCCCATCATCCAAGACCTTGGACAAGTGAGCCGACCTGAGAAGTGCTCTCAGGAGAGAAAGAGGTGGCAGCAGAGAGTGTGTAACAAAGGGCTCAAGAAGTGGTGGCTCCACAGTGACCTGGGGGACTTGGAAGGCCAGGAAGAGCCAGGGGAAAGCAAACTCTAGGAAGACAACCACAGATGTTCTCAAAGTAGAGACCTCAAGTTAGGCAAATGTGACTCCCTCTTTTTTTGTTTTTTGCAAGTTGTACTTTTGTCATTATAAAAATAATACATGGTCTGGATAAATTTTTCAAAAAACATGGCAGAATATGAAGCATAAAGTAATAAACGTTCATAGTACCACTACTTAGAGGAAACTACTCATGTGGTCCTCTCAATTCATCTGCTTTTGCATTCACACACACACACACACACACAGTATTTGTGCAAAGAAAATGAGGCTCTATCAAACATACTATTTTACGATGTTTTTACCTAAAAATGTGTTATAGACTTTTGTCTCTATCAATAAACCTAGATATATAGCATTATTTTAGTGGCAGCTCAGAATTCTGTGATAGGAATGTACCATAATTGACTTACCTCATCCGCTATTAATGGATATGTAAGTAATTCCAAGTTTTCGCTATTACAACAGTCTTGGAATGTACAAATTTATTCTTCTATCTTGGTGTATTTTTGCAAGCATCTTATTACTGTTATTTAGAAGATTAATTCTTAGTAGTGGGATTGTCAGTTCAAATGTTTTGTGCATTTTCAATATTGATAGAAGTTGCCAGAGTGCTCCTCAAAATGGTGAACACTACCACAAAGAGTATGAGAGTGTCTATTTTCCCACATCCTTACCAACACAGAGTGTTATCGTTTTATTATTTTCACCAATCTAATTGATACAAAGGGGCATATCATTGTTGCAATTTGTATTTCTTTAACTCTTCCTGAGGTTGAGAATGTCCCTTTATGTGTATTGGTCTATTATGTTCTTTCCCTATGAACTGCCTGTTCAAACTTTTTTTATTTTTGTAATTGATTGTTTGAGTCCTTTGTAAATTGAAGGAGTTAGCACTTTGTCAGATGTACTATGCAAAAAAAAAAAAAACAAACAGCAGTAGTTTTCAAGCTGCACAGGTCATGAAATCAATTTATTGAGTCATAGCCAGCATTTTAAAAGAAAGAAAGAAAGAATTAATTAGAAACCACACTTTTTCACACATATTTATTAAAATACTCATGTCCATGAATCACCATACTCCATTTTGAAAGCTATAGAATATTCATGCTGAAATGCTATTGTTCCATGAAATGTTCATTCCAAGTGGGTGTGAAAAAATGCTGGAAAATCTTTGCTGGACAGGGGCAAACCCACTTCTCACTGCTATGGTTATTTCTGAGGTCGTTGGAAGAAGCGTTTGCAGAAGAGATCTAGAGAAGGTGGTTTGGCCTTTGGGAAGCTAAAGAAAATTAGAGAAGTGCAGTTAAGAAGAAGGCAGAAGATGTAAGAATGAGTGGGAAGGAGGGAGCATCAGGGAAGCTTAGGTAAGGGGTTTTATGAGGAAAGGTTGAATTTGAAATCAATAAGGAAAGACATTGGTTGGCAACAGGAACAGAGCAAAAAGAGTAGGAAGTGCCTTTACTCTTTGCCCAGGTTTGACCCTGAGTTCAGCTGCATTGGCCTCTTCTCTTGTAGAATCCTTCTCTACTCCCAAGTTCCACATCAGTCCTGCAGGGTTGATCACAGAAGGCGATCAGCTCCACATTAAGTGCACCATTCAGGTGACACACCTGGCCCAGGCATTTCCCGAAATCATAATCCAGAAGGACAAGGTGATTGTGGCACACAACAGACATGGCAGTGAGGCTGTCTACTCTGTGATGGCCATGGTGGAACACAATGGCAACTACACATGCAAAGTAGAGGCCAGCCGGATATCCAAGGTCAGCAGCATCGTGGTCAACATAACAGGTAGGGCTGCTGCTGGAGGCTGTTGGCATATGATGGGCTCTAGAAGTGACCAGATTGGCAGTGGCCAATGAGAGATGATGTTCTTCTTCTTTGCCCCTGCTTGTGCCAATGAATGTTACTCATATGGGAATGTGGGGCTTCTGGGAATAATCGATATAAAGTGAGTCAACAGTAAGCTGTGGTGGTTGGGGTGCAGCCCAGCCCTGCCACTCACTACCTCTGTGACCGTGGGTGAGTTATTGAGCTTCTCCTTGCCTCAGCTCCCGGAGATGGAGGTAATGAAGCCTTCCTAAATGGCCCTAGTAGAGATCACTATTCATGGACTCAAACTCCTGAAGGACCATGATCCTTCTCTTGACCCCTTCATCTGTCCGAAGTACCCTTTCCTCTTGGCCATGTGAAAAATGTCTAATGTCCTTAAAAATCAAACCTCAAATGTCTCTCCAGGCTGCTTTCAGCAGAGTCCATTGGCCACACCTCAGTGGGAACTCTGCTCCTTCACATTGACTGTTACTGTCAGGTTTGGTTTAGTGTCTTTCTCCACCACGCTGTGAAAGCTCTTCAAGGACCAGGTCTGTGACTCAAATAATTTTACATTATCGGAACTCGGCACAGAGCTTGGCACATTGTAGCAGCTCAGTAAATATTCATTCAATGAATGAATAAAAGAATGATCCCTATTACTCCTCATGATACTCCAGCCAGTCTCTTTACACAGAGCTTTCTCCATGGCTTGGGACCCACCATTCCCCTTGTTCAGATGCCATCACTCTTTACAAATAGATTATTTTGTCCTAATTCTATACCACCCTGTATCCCACTTAGCAGAATGAACCATGACATTGTGTGTGTGTTTTTCAGTTTTGATTATATTTTTTAGTATGTAGAGTCATTGCTTTG